CATGCATACAATATCAGAAAATGAATGGAAATAAAGGTGATACATTTAAAAGCCTCCAGAAACAGAAAAGGCGTCAATAGATTCAAATTCAATTAAAAGGAAAGGATAAAAATCTGATAGCCATAGCAGCAAACTCTGCTTCAAAATATGAATATCCAAAAGAATGAACTAGAAATTTCAACAAAGTTATTTGATTTAAAGCTCTCTCTATCTACATATATGCTTCCAAGATTGACATCTATGTTCACACAGTTGTGAGATGGCAACAATATCTGGGTATCATGGAATTCATAGACCCAGGCCATTGGCCCAATATCTTGGCAAAAAATAGAACAAACTTCAATGAAGGGCCAAGGTTGCAGGAAGACTGAAGCAAAGAGCTTGGATTCAATTGTACCCCAAAAGTTGTGATATAACTTCGATTCAAGTGCTTTCTTTCTTGCTTCAGGCAGTATTTTCAGCAGTATAATTTGTGGTATATATTTAGGATGTCAGATACAGGTAGTTTTACAAATTTTCAATCTCATTTGACACATGTTAGGCAAGACATGTGTTTCTTTAGGACATGGTTTTCCCTCTCGCATAAACATTCTGTAATTGTTTCTTTCACTCATTTTGATTTTATTCTTGGAAAAAGTTAAACTGAAATCCTAGCCCGACCCTACTCCACCACTCACCAACTGATCCAATGCTTAAGGGCTTCATTCCATTTGAAGGGTCATTATCAGTAAGATGATCTAGAACTCAGAGAAGAAAAGAAAGGGGTCCATTTGATAACCATTTCAATTTGAGTTTTTAGTTTTCATTTTGTGCTAGAGTATAGAGGAAAATGAGAGTGAGGATGGGAGTGAGGAGGAGATTAAGAGAGATGATGAAAGGGGAGGATGGGAGGGAGTAGTAACAAAAGTGAAAACAATTTCAAATAGATTTCAGTTTTTAGTTTTTGTTTTCACTTTTGTATCTCTTCCCTCTCATCTTCCCTCTCAATCTCATCTTCACTCTCATTCTCCCTCTTTTTCCTCTATAATCCAGCACAAAAAATGAAAACTAAAAACTAAAATTGAAATGGTTATCAAATGGGCTCCAGTTTCTAGTACAACCTTAGTTCATTACTTATGTAGTGTGTATGATAAGACATTTCTACAAAGCGAAGCCTATTTTGAAGACATTTCTACAATAAGCACTTTACTTTAGTACCAACTACCATTTCTAGAGTATAGAGGAAGCTACTTCCCTTATTATCTATCTATCAGGAGAGGCATATTCACACAAAGTTAACATAAACCCTGGTGGTCATTATAGGTCATGGGCTTGCATAAACTCAGTGTGTCATTACTAACTATAGGCTTTTACCATTTACGATCACGCAAACACAAACAGAGCACTTTGGCCATCTTACAGAGTACAAGATAAATGATCCCAAATATATTCCTGTTAAATATATCAACCTGAATTGACATATAAAACAAATATAACAGGAATAAGTTAATTGATCAACCTCTTTGTACTAAAGACTAAGAGACATGAAACTAACTATTCAATTATTCTAATAAAAAGGGGGCAATTGTACTCAAACTCATGCATACGGCATATCTTCAATGCCATACAACTAGCCACAAAACACCATAAGCAGCATAACCACCCTATTTTTCCATTTCCTTCATATTCCACCATTTTCAGAGCAACCCAACAAAATAGCAATACATATTACACACAATGAAAACCAAAAAGAAAAGAAAGGGTACCTGAAAAGTGAGACTAAAAGGGTTCTTAAAACCACGCTTGGGCAAACGACGTCGTAATGGCGTCTGACCACCTTCAAAACCCAACTTCCCGGAGCCTCTAGCCTTCTGACCCTTGTGGCCTCGACCAGCAGTCTTGCCTTTACCAGACCCAATCCCGCGGCCTTTCCTCGTCTTCTGCTTCCTGGGAACCTTGCCTCTCAGATCGTTCAAGCTCAACAGACTGTACGCTCTCAATCCCTGAGGCTGAAAGCCAAACCCTTTGACATCGCCAATGCTAGGGTTAGGGTTTGGGCATTGGAGTAAATGGAGGGATTGGAATGAGATTGGTGAGGGTGAGAGAGTAGGTTTAGTGCAAATGGCGGTGGAGAGAAGGGATGCGAGTCTTCTTCTCAGCATATTTGTTTGCTTGATGCGACTGTGAATCGCTAGTTGCAACTAGCAGTTTAATGCAGACGCGAGTATCGGAGAGAGGTGGTCATGAATCGCCGGAGCTAATTGACCGGAAAATGGTGCGCCTTGTAGCGGTGCTAGGTGGCTGCTTTGTTGCAGAGTTGTTATGCAAGCGCGAGGAAAGCATCTGACCCAAATTTTTAATAACCTAGAGCAGAACGACGACGTCTAGCCAAAACCCCTAAAAGTTTTGAAACGCTCGATGGGTTTTTCTTGTCATTCAGGTTTTTCTATGAACCAAAATTCCAATATATATATATATTTTAATCAATCAATAGGAAGTTTAAAAAATTCTAAATATTTTTAAAATCTCTCGGTCGGATAGGAATACAATTGAGAATTTATCAAAAATAGCCAAACTTTACCCCCCACTTTCAAAAATGTCAATTTTTATAAAATCTTTCAAATATAGCAAAAAACGCACATAAATATACACAAATGCCCTTAAAAATTAAAACCCACATAAACTTAAAAACAAAGATAATGTACAAACATGATCCTGTGCTGCTGAGGTCCACAATCTCTCCGGGAGGGTCCACACCCACTGTCTGTGTGAGAGTCGTCATTGTTGTGTTTATCTCAGCATCAATAAATAGGACCAAGAAACTTAAAAACTTATATTAGAGACACTAGTATTCAAAAATTATGTTTTGAATATTCAACTTATTGAAAAGCTGTCTTTCTTTCACACATAAAGGTCATCTAATCAAATTTGTAGAAAGCATCATCATTGCATGAAATGAGGAGTGTCTCTATGGGAGTTGATCAGGAACTAAATAACCATACCAAAATGCTTATAGCTTGTTTTTCCAAATCACAAAATTGATAGAAAAATATAATAGTATTGAATCTATGTGCAAAGACTTTATCCTCACATGGGCCAAACCAAAAACGCTGCATCTCTACTGTATATCATCTCAAATCTACAAAAATTGTGAGGGAAAGCATGCTTTATTCCTCATCTTCAAAAGTTTACACCAAAAGTTTAAGAAAATTATAAAATTAAATATTCATCCATTGTTCATACTGATTCATAAATTTAAATAGTAAAATATTACACCTATCTACGAGGTAGGTAGGATGAAGAGCAATCGGATTTTTGCAAGTTTGTTGATAATGGCCAGTTGAACCACATCTTGAACACTTACTAGTTGATGGTTCTTCTCCGCGTGATGGGATTCTCTTTTCCTTGCGTCTGTCGTACCTTTTTCTTGTAATTGGTGGTAGGACAATTCAATTTCGTACGTCATTAGGTACCACCCAATCTGTATGATCCCCAACTGGCCAAATAGGTTTTGCATACGCAATGACCAATGAATTTGTAGTATAATATTGTGAACACATTGGGTAACATGAAATTTGTCGATGCCTACATGCAGCACAAGCATGTGCACATGGTAGTTGGTCAAGATCAAACTCTCGGCATGTGCAACACTTCCTCTCTAAATTTCCAATTATTTATGCTAGGGGATGGATTTGCCTAGATCATTGTAAAGTACTTTCTACTCTCTGGCCAATCCCAATAGGCAACACGTCTGTATAGCCTCAACACTCCCTAATTCAACTTTCAACGATCCAGGCAGACCCAAATTGGAAATATTTTATTCATCCAAATCGAAAAAGAAATACAATTAATAAGTTCTTTATCTTCAAATCCAATCCAACAAACAAAATTAATTGTATTTCAAGTGGCCAACAGACAATCATGGAATTAAAACAAAGATGGAAGGAGAGAGAGAAAGAAAAGCAAACCTGGGATTACAGATTGGTAAGTTGAATTAGGGAGTGTAGGAATTGCTTCAAACCAAGCCTACAGACGTGCGTGCTCAACAGTAGTTCGACCAAAGGCTACAGACGTGCGTGCGAATCCAAATTTTGTGTAGTAGGGTTTTGCTTTTTAGGTTTATGTGGGTTTTAATTTTTAAGGGTATTTGTGTCTATTTAAGTGAGTTTTTGGCTATATTTGAAAGATTTTATAAAAACTGACATTTTTGAAAGTGGAGGGTAAATTTTGGCTATTTTTGATAAAAACTCAATACAATTTCATCTAATTAATATAAGGCCAAAAATCAAAATGTAGTACCTAATTTTACAAAAATATCATTAAAAAGTATCAAAATTACACACAATGCCACTCCTTCTAAAGTAAGCATATTACGCCACATGTTCATATCTAGCAAACCGCCACCGCCGGCTAGCCACCGGCCACCGGCCACCGACCACCACTGTAGGCCATCGTCGGGCCCCCCCCCGCTGGCCACCTGCCACCACCATCGCCGGACGCCGCGCTGTCGGCCAGCAACCGCCAGCTAAGCGCTGTCGCCTGCCGCCATCACCTATAAAGGACCAACTTCGTTGTCCTTTATTCATCTTTAAAAAAAAAAAATTATGTTATTGAAGGGACTCGAACCTTGACCCTAGGGACGGACCTAGGATTTCAAACTTGACAAGGCTAAATTTACCGTACATATAAACATACGAACTAGATAGAAAACTCGATAGTACGATGTAATTTCATTGATAACAAAAAATTAATAATACATCTACTCAATGAGGGGACATAATGAGTCTTACCTCTCAAATTACACTATATAAGTTGAACTGTTCGAGTCTTCATAGAATTAAAATCATTAATTATCTATATTATCAGCAAATTCTATTTCAATGTGAAGTAACATACAATCAGCAAGAAATTCATCACCAATCTTGTTTCGAAGCCGATTTTTGATCAATCTCATACAAAAAAATGCTCGTTCTATTGTTGATGTGGAAATAGGAAGAGTTAGCACCAAACAAGTAGTAGGTTTATGCTAATCTTGTTTCCACTAAGCACTCAAGTAATATAGGAATGGAATCAAGATTCTTGAAGGTTGGATTGTGATCCACGTCAATCTTATAAAATCCCAGTTGTTGATTTAAAGCTTGCAACTCAGTTGTAGTGAAATCTTGAGGATAAAATTTATTAGCAAGAGTGTATATATCAACAATGTTAAATCGCTTGAAAGCATCACGGGGATCCAATGATGAGCTAAGACGAAGGAGTTCCATAGTTTCATATGGAAATCTAGTATTTAACTCCCCCAACTGATAATCTATTACCTCATTAAATACATCCATATGATAATAATGCTCCACGGTGATACAATCTTTTTGTTTACAAGAACGCCCAATTCCCATTGTATGACGGGCACCCATATTAGGCATACTAATTTCATGTTTTTCACAAAATGATCGTACACTTTGTAGAAAGTCATCCCAACCATTGTTTCTCAACTCATCAAACTCCATTTTTGTACTTGCAACCAAATTCAAAGCACTTTTAATGTCTTGAGATTTTCTTTGAAGTTCTTGACAAAGAAAATCAGTGAATCTCATAGTTTTGTCTAACAAATTCAAGGCAAAGACAAATTCAAAAGACAACATAGAAATTTTAATTCCTTCTGCTTTCCCACGAAATTGTGAGGTAGGTACATTATGACTAATATCCTTTAGAAGTGTCTTGGTTGCACCAAATAAATCAATCAAACTCCTAATAGAACTAAAATGTGAGCCCCAATGAGTAGTTCCAGGTCATTGCAGACATCGAATTTGATTAGCCCCTTTACTTGTTCCAAGTTTTCCAGCTGCTCATAAGTCTTCAATTTCAGCTTGTCAAGTTAATTTTAACTTAGAATGGCGTTTGGCAAAAGCACAAACAAAATTCACAATGTTATTCAATATTGAAAAAAATCTCCAAACAAGTCCTACCTCTTTAGCAACAATGTTTAAAGCCAATTGAAGGCGATGAGCAAAGGGTTTATAAATAGGTAACAGTGCCCGAGTAAAAAGGGTAACTATTTTCTCACATTTACTGTTACTTTGCCAAAATTACCACGTATAGCCGATTTAAGCATCGAAGAGCCTTCCGCAGGCACCACACTGATGTCCTAAGCTTGATGATTGCTTCTTCCTTCTTATCTTCTGCAGGTTCTTCCAACTCCGAAGGTTCTCATCTTCTTCCCTGCTAAAGATACTATACTTCCCAGAAAGAGCATCAACAGTTTGGCACCATCTATGGGAATCGACTTCTGAATCTCATTCCCCTCTTCCAGCCTAGCTGGCTCCCTCCCTCATCAAGCCCCACCGCCTCTTCTCTTCCTCACACTCTGCTATGCCGAGCGATGCCAGCCACAATACCCAACAACACACCCCTCGTGGGGACCCATCCCGAAAGAAACCTTCGACATAGGGGAATTTTCGGGAAAAGGTGGAATGCCTTAGCGCTAGTATGGCCAAGATGACGGAGAACTGCGAACACCTTTGTACCAAGAATGTCGAGATGGAGCATGATTGTCGCACCCTGAAGCGTAACTGGAAGATGACTCACCCCAAGGCGCCCAGCAAGACCTTACCCAGGATGTTGAACACACCCAACCGAACCAGCCAATAGCCTCCAGTCATAGCGCCCCAATCTAGTCCAGGCTCAGCAAGGGCAAAGGCCACCTTCATATAGAGACGACCAAGTCGTGGCGTCTCCACATTTCCCCACCAAAGGATCGGCTCCATATCCCGACCAATATCTACAAAGATTGCAGGCATCGTATCTCGGAGCTTCGACCGGAGCCTATTCTTATCCTTGTCAACCTCGACGGCCCACGGGTGGCACACCTAGGCCCCCCACCGAAGCCCACCCACTTATCCGCCAGAGAAGGTGCAGGGGACTCGGATGACTAGGAACCTTATCGTTCAAACGACTGGGAGTATTACCATACCGAAGCGTTTGAGGACTGGGAGTCTTACCATACCGAAGCGTTTGAGGAGTGGGAAACTTACCCAACCCCTGCCCACCCATACCCCAAGCCTTCAGCATCCGGTGCTCTCCTCCACGCCGACCCGACCATGAGACTTCCTTTTGAGAAGGTTCGACGCCTTAAGAGTGACCAGCGCCGCAACCATCAGTCCATCTGGACGAAACCATGACCTGGCCCCTTCACTAAACGTATCCTCAACTATCGTCAGAAGAAGGAGATTCAGTTGTTCTGCATTGATCCGCCCTCGGATGCAAGGGCCTCATCGACAAAGGCATGTGTCTCATTTTCCCTTCTACCTTGCTCTAAACTGATTCTATCGGCTGAACCCCCGCACTATCAACTCCTTCAACAGCTTGAAGCAAACCTTCCTAGACCATTTTATGATCCAAACTGATCGCTTGTACTCCGCAAATGATTTATATATGTTTCGGTAGGGTGAGGATGAACCCCTTCGGGAGTATGCCACCAGCTTCAACCACGAGTATTCCCGGTGCCCTGAAACGGAGATCACGCTGCCTTTGGAGCCTTTAAGAGCAGTCTCCGCTAATCCAACTTCCGCCATAGCAACCCATGGAACACGTATGCTGAACTCATGAAGTAGGTAGCTATCCACGCCAAAGCCGAGTATTTTAACTCCAAGCGTGGCCCAACCAATTAGTCATGAATCACCTTTGACGACCCTCCACAGGCCCCAGCCCCCACTCCCATCGAATCGAACCATTATTCTCCTTCTCCTGACTCCCAGGGTGGCCAGAACCCTAAGAGAAAGGATGGTTACTCACGTGCCTTCAACAATAGGAAGCGCGGTCGACACTTCAGTCCTCACCCCTCTAGCGGCAACAACCCCCCGAAGACACACGATCGTGCCCCGCTACCCTTTGAGCCTAAGCTTCAGTTTGAGGTCTTTACTACACTAAACACCACCTATGAGAGTGTGTTGGTCAATGAGGCACCTATTATACCCAAACCTCATTCCCGAAGACCTACCAACAAGCCTATACCGAACACAAGAATCTTCTGCCGCTTCCACCAATTTAATGGTCATGATACAGAATCCTGTATTGCCTTGTGCAACATCATTGAAGGGCTCATTCGTGAAGGGAAATTAGATAAGTACTTCCACAATCCTCCTACCATCAGCGGCGGCACTACCTTGTAGGAACTTTCAACGACTCCATCAAGCATTATGTCTGATCTTCCTATGCGCATCAGGTTTTCAGCACTGAGTACGGACGCATGCCGAAGGCCCAAAGAATGGCTGGTCCCCCATCACCTTCAGTGAGGAAGAGGAACGTGGCATCATATACCCCCATGATGACCTACTGATCATTCAGGCAGACATGTCTAATTTCTATGTCTGGCGCATCCTGGTTGATATCGGTAGCTCAGTGTCATGTTCGCCGAGGCATTCAACGAACTCCAGGTCCCTAACCATCTGCTGGACCGCAGTATCACCCCCTTATAAGTTTCTCTAGCGATGTGGTCCAATCCATTGGAAGCATCCATCTCCCCATCTCTATTGGTTTGGCACCTTAACGGGCCACAGCCACCACCTCATTTCTAATCGTCGACTGCCCTACTACTTACAACGTCATCCTCGAGCACCCGCCTTGGTGCAAATGCTATTGCTCAAGTTCCCCACTCCCCATGGCACAAGCACGCTACGCGTGGACCAACTAGGCGCCTGAAGCTACTACGCTTTGGCAGTCAAATCCATCACCCTCCGGCGACGTGAAGCTCTTTCGGTCACTAGAGCCCCACCCATTCCTTGAGCTGGCACTGAGTGCCCTAAAGACCCTAGGGAAGAATCCGTTACCCCTCAGGCCAAACCCATGGAAGACCTCGAACTCATCTGCCTTCATGACGACTTCCCGGATCGGCAAGTATAGATCGGTACCTCCCTTCTCCCTGACCTTTTCTATGCCCTTATAGCCTTTCTCCGCCTCAACTCCGAGGTCTTCACTTGGTCCTACAACGATATGCCAAGCATATCGCCTGATCTCATCTCCCACCGACTCAGCATCAACCTCGCCGTTTGACCCGTTATGCAGAAGCTTCGCGTCTATGACCCAAAACGATACGAGGCCATGAAAGTGGAGGTGGAGAAACTCCGAAGTATCAGTTTCATCAAGGAGGTGGACTACCCTACGTGGCTAGTCAACGTGGTAATGATGCGCAAACCGAAGAAAGGTTGGTGAATGTGTGTCGACTACACCAACCTGAATCAAGCCTATCCGAAGGATAGCTTCCCTCTCCTATGAATTGACCAACTTGTGGATGCTACAGCGGGCCACGCCCTTCTCAGCTTCATGGATGCCTACTTCGGCTACAACTAGATCTTCATGCATCTGATGACCAGGGCCACACATCTTTCATCACTGATCGAGGCCACTATTGTTATAAGGTGATGCCCTTCGACCTAAAAAATGTCGGAGCTACGTATCAGCGCCTTATGAACAACCTCTTCGTCCTGTTGATTGGCCATACCATGGAAGTGTATGTTGATGACATGCTAGTCAAAAGTCGCACTGTGACCAACACATCCCCAACCTATCTACTATGTTTGAGGTGCTGAAGCGACACAACATGAGACTTAACCCCCCGAAGTTTGCCTTTGGTGTTGCCTCAGGCAAATTCCTCGGCTTCGTGATTAGCCAGCGTGGCATCGAAGCCAACCCATAAAAAATTCAGGCCATCTTAGACATGGAAGTGCCCAAGACGGTCAAGGACATCTAAAGCCTTAAGGGACATGTCGTAGCCTTAACTAGGTTCATCTCCAAGGCCATTGATTGCTGCACCTCCTTCTTCAAAGCCTTTAAAGGAAATAAACGCAACATCACCTGGACCCTAGAATGTGATAAGGCTTTCACTGACCTCAAGGCGTACATGAGCAAGGTGCCCCTCTTATCCACACCTGAGCCTAGTGAAACCCTAATGATCTACCTTTTAGTCTCCCACACAGTAGTTAGCTCCGTGTTAATCCGATTGCACGAAGGTGCTGAGCATCCAGTACACTACGTCAATAAGGCATTGCAGGATGCTGGACATAGAGAAACTGGCTTTTGCCTTGGTCACTTCGGCCAGACGCCTTCGACCTTACTTCCAGGCCCATATGATTCATGTTCTCACCAACCAGCCTTACGATAGGTATTACAGAAGCCGAGACATCTGGCAGACTGGTCAAGTAGGCTATCAAGCTCGGGGAGTTTGATATCCACTTTAAACCATGATCAGCCACTAAGGGTCAGGTTGTCGCTGATTTCCCGTTCGAGTTTACAGCACCCAAGGATTTGGCCACCCCCGCAGTCACTATCGAAGCCAATACCCCCTCGACCCTCGTCCACGTCACTGGTGAAGGCAGCTTCGACCCAACTAGCCTTTCTGGACACTCCACATCGATGGTTCTGCAAATGTTCAAGGGTGTGGGACTAAGGTAGGCCTAGTCCTTATCTCTCCAGACCATGTTACCCTAGAGTACACTTTTCGCTTTAAATTCCACTCCTCAAACAATGAGGCCGAATACGAAGCACTCCTGGCTGGTCTTCTGCTCGCCCGGGAGATGGGGACCCAACAAATACAGATATTCAGCGACTCCTAGCTCGTGGTCCATCAGGTCAATCAGGACTCAATGCCAAAGATACCTCCATGACGGCATACCTTCAGCACGCCCATAGCTTACTACAAACATTCAAGGCATACAGGATCAGCCAGATCCTGTGATCTGAAAATAGCCACGCTGATGCATTGGCTAGGCTAGCTTTGGCATTAGAGCAAGGCAATGGTAGCAAAATTCACATGGAGTTCCTAGATAAACCGAGCACCAACAGTCGTTTGTACCATCGACCGCAGCCCCACTTGGATGGACCCCATCCTTCAGTTTTTACAACACGAACAATTGCCCACTAACCCAACTGAAGCGCGACGCGTTCACTACCGCTCTGCTTGGTACCTAATCATCAACGGGGCCCTATACAAGTGAGGCTTCAGCTTCCCTTACCTTCGGTGCTTGACCCTAGACGAGGGCAACTATGTCCTTCGGGAAATTCACAAGGGCATTTGCGACAACCATTCTGATGCCCAATCTTTAGCCCGCAAGGCCATTCGACAGGGGTGCTTTTGGCCCTCACTCCATACTGATGCCTAATCCTTCACTCAGAAGTGCGACAAATGCCAATGGTTTGCCAACATCCCACAGATTCTTGCCGAGCCACTAACTCAAGTGGTGAGCCCCTAGCTATTCGCCCAATGGGGACTGGACCTCATTAGACCTATGCCAGAAAGAAAGGGCCAGGTCAAATACGAGGTGGTCGCGGTCGACTATTTCAGAAAATGGGCTGAAGCAGAACCTTTGCTACCATCATTGCTGCCCGTATCGAGACCTTCGTCTGGCAAAACATCATATGCGGCTTTGGCATACCTCAATCTATTGTCATGGACAACAGGAGACAATTCAACAACGTAAATTCAAGCAATTCTGCAACAACCTCAAGATCCACCTGTGTTTCGCGGCCTCAGCCCACCCCCAATCCAACGGCCAAGTCGAGGTTGTGAACAAAATCATCAAAAAGATGCTCAAAACCAAACTTGATAAAGCGAAGGGGTGCTGGCCCGAACTACTACCAGAGGTCCTCTGGTCATATTGCACTACTTTTCGTACCTCTACAAGAGAGATACATTTTTCCTTTTCTTTCGACACTGAGGGTTCCTGTAGAAGTTGGCTATCCTTCCTACTAAACCTCAACTTACGATGCTGAGGCCAATGACCAGCAGTTAGCCCTGAACCTCGAC